TTCAGATTTAGCTTATTTCCAATTTAGTTCTTTCTATTTTTAACTCTTTCAAAAACCGAGGTGTTACGGTTTTACATTGGTTTAGATTTTTAAAATATATAACCTAATTTTAATTTTCTTTAATGTTTAATCATGTAACTAATACTTATTAGACTTATTTTCGCATGATTTAGTACTTTTAAATTATGATCATTTTCATTATGACTTGTCAAATTGCAATATTTATTTTATACAATTTCATTATTATTTTTTATTAAATATTTTGATGTCATCACTCATCTCATTATTTTGTGTTATTTTCTTAAGAAACACATGTTTGTACGAATACTTTACGGAAAAATCTGAGGTTTATTAGTTTGGTTTGATTTAAAAATTCGACACAAATGGTTTGGTTTGATATTTGAAAATTTTGAACAAATCTGGAAAAAATTGGGGCTGAAAAACACGAAAAATTTGACTTTTATTAGTTTGATTTGGTTTATAAATTTAAAAATTTGACACAGATGGTTTGGTTAGATATTTGGAAAAACCCAAACCAATCCGTTCATGTACACCCCTAACCCTAATCCAATAGTCATAATTCAACAACTATCAAGTATCAAGTACGGCAATCACAAATGTCAAATAGATCAATCGTTGGTATCAAGTACATCAAAGCACAATAATCAAGCACACTGAGCACAAATTCACAGATTTATCACTCACAATATCAATTGAAACTCATGAAAACTGCCTATAGTTCATGAACTCGCTAATAATGATCTCGACATCAATATCACTCGGCGGTAATGACCTAGGCATCAATATCACTCATTGAAAATGACCTCGACATCAATAACACTTGTCGGAAATGACCTTAGCATCAATAACACTTGTCGAAAATGACCTCGGCATCAATAATCATTACATGTCTCATCATGGTGCTCAGAAATCAATGCAAGTAAGCAATTTTATACCACAAGGAAGAGACAATAACTAAAGCAAATCAAGTCTACAATAAAGTTATCAAAGCATTTTATCAATCATCACATTAGGGTTCACAACAAGGCAAATTCACAAAGTATTATGATAAACATGTTGCCTTGTCATTAATCCCCTTTTTATTCATTAATATAAATCAAGTGAAATAATTGAACTCATCACCTCGTTCTCATTACTCCCAAACACATACAAATGAAGAGAAATGCACGATTCTACTAATTTTACAAGGTTTAGAAGATCACTTGCCTCAATTTCAATCAAAGATCAATCCAAGAATTGAGTCTTCCGTTTCCAAACAATGTCCAAAGTCATACAAACTAATTCAATCAAATAATCACAATAAGATTTCGAAAATAACAACACTTAATTCAAACATTTGCAAAATTGGTCAAATCATCTCAAGAACCTAATTTCAAAAATGAGGTTTGAATCCGAAACTCTTTACTTGAAAACATTACCCAAGGCATTTGGAACTCATTGGTGAAAACCATTTCAAAAAAGGATTTAAAATCAGTCCATAATCACTATTTTACTAAATTCTTGGGTTCTTCAAGAAAGAACCCAATTAATCATTTCAAAACCTTGATTCGAACACTTAAATTGATAAAAAAATAATGGGTAAATGAAGATTTAAGATTAGGGATCGTTACCCAAATATTTCTTCTCAAAAGTTTTGTTCAAATCGCCACGCCAAAGCTCCCAAAACTCAAAAATGATGAAATGATGTTGAAACCCTGATTTTTGGAAGATATTTTGTCCAGGGGTCCTCCGCGAACGCGGACCCCTATCGGCAAATGCGGCCCCCGACTCATTAAAGCTCCGCGATCGCGGAGGGTTGGCTTCAGCACTACAAAACAGAAAAATCAACCAAACACATAATCGTCGAAAGAACCATCGGGATTCGTTCTGAACGCCGTACACATAAGCCATTTATGTGATTTGACTATATTCGACGTTCCAGACTCAATGGAACCATAGAAATACAAATATGAGGTCTCCTTGACCCAAGTCCCGTGTAAGACCCAAGAAACTAATCATAATGCCTAAAAAGGTCAAATCAAGCTCGGGAACTCTAAAAATTCAACCAAGACCTCACCTAGGCCTAAAATCATCCTCCAAATCCAATGAAACTCTCGAAATTCCAATTCGAGCATCTAAACACCGAATATTGACCAAAGTCAATCCAAAGGCTAAATTTTCAAAAATTTCCAACTTAGGACCTCAAATCCTTAAAAAGACTCCGAATTTGAAGCTCATCGACCAATTTCCACATTTCAGGACTGATGAAATCGATAGAATTTCATTCCGATATTCGAAACTCCAAAATATACCAAAAACCACTTTTAAGCAACCTTATCAAACTCAAAACAAACAAATTTCACAAGTTTTTACTCAAATCTTGAAACCAACTTCAAAACTCAATCAGAAATGACTCGGGGTTAAAATCGGGAGGGGTAAAACACTAAATTTCACGAAAATTTCCAAAAACGACCAACAGGGTCATTACAATCTAGATATATATGACTTGAAATCTTATATGAAATTATTAATTAGTAAGATAATGTGTAATTATTTCAAACTAAATGATGAATTAGTAAATATGATAGGAATATTTGTGTAATTAGGTATTATTTTTCATTGTGTAATTATTTCAAAATAAATGATGAATTAGTAAATATGATAGGAATATTTGTGTAATTAGGTATTATTTTTCATTTTTTATCAGATTACATATCAATCTTTATTACATAGAGTTATTTGTGATTAGTTTTTCTAATATCATATCCCCTTTCGCTTCCATAAATCAAACTAAAGCCGATGGAAAAAACAATTAGGGTGAAGGAGGAAACAAACTCACACTTAATATACACAAACACATATTTATATTAAAATATACACAAAAGCACATACTTATGTTATTTTCTACATTAAACAAAGTGCTTTAATCATATATTCTCTCTTTGTTGTTTAATTCTTATGATTAACACCATGTAGAAGAATGGTCTTCTCAACTATTTCCATTAATCCTTTCATCATTTGATAACTTGTTCATGGATAAAGCTGCATTAAGAAACTCATCCATTGCTTTAATAGATGACCCTTTGAAATCCTCATCATCTATAATAGCATCACTTATCATTTCTTTAACTTCACAAGTTTTCCTTCTTATTTCATTCCCTTTCTCATTTATCCCCATAACAACCTCAATCTTTTCCAATATATCATCATGCTTGACTTGAGAATTATTCCCTCTAGCCACCTCAACACAAACACCAACATCTAGTTCCAAGAATTTTGCATTGTAAAATTGCTCTGCTGCAATAGGCCAACCTAGAAGTGGCACTCCATTTTCAAGTGATTCCAACATTGAATTCCATCCACAATGTGTCAAGAAAGCTCCAACTGATTTGTGTGCCAAGATTTCAACCTGTTGTAACCAAAAAAAATAATTAACGTAAGCTTTAAGATAATATGGTTACACGCTTATCTGATATTTAGAAAAACAAGAGGTCTCGGATTCAAATCTCAAAGCAATTTGAAAAACACAAGCTTGGTCCCACAAAAAGAATCAAACCTACATGTGAGATGGCATTTTAAGATATTAAATAACTAAAAATTTGGATGAAGTTCCTAACAATTTAAACTTTCAAATAAAATGGTTACAAACCTGAGGAGCCCATTTTGGCACTATAAGTCCCCTATTTTGATCCTCGAAAACGCGTTGAACAAACCCCTCAGGAAGCCACTCCTCTGCTCTGAATTCCATGTTATTGTCAAAACCAAAGGAGGCCTAACAACCCATATGAAGTTTACTCTATTAGCTTTATCCAAGGCTATTGCCAATTCCATCATTTGTGATGTTGATATTCTGTTCTGAGAGCCAAAAGAAATGTAAAGTACTGATTTTTCTTCTTTTTCATCAAGAAATTTGATGAACTTCTCTGTTTCTTCCCCTGTTTCATCATCAACTCTTTGTTTATTACTTACTGGCCAAGGTATTGGTCCTATTGTCCAAACAGGTATTCCTAATTTTCGACGAAAATATGTTAAACCAAGCTTGTCTATACCTTCAACTGTATTGAAAAGAATCCCATCAGAGTTAATCCAGTTAGGAAGATTTTTCCAATTGAAATTTGTGTAAGGTGTTGGTAAACATATATTCACAGCGGAAGCATACCAGAATCTTTTTACTTACATGAATAATAGATAACCAATATTGTTTATGCTAGACCACATAATCATGCTAGAACACATAAACATACTGAAACTTAATTCGATAAATACCTCTTGAAGCATGAACAGATACCTTCAAGCGAATCCCCAAGTTAGACAGTCCTTCAAGTGAATCTACAAGATAGCCATGGTCTTCTACAGTGATCCCAAGTTCACATCTGAACTCTCTCAATACTAGGGTGGGCAAGTATCGAATAGAAAACTAAACAATCTAGGGCTAGAATAATCCCTAATTATAGAGATTTCTTCAAAGTCCAAAGAGGAGAATCGAACACACGTTATTTTTCTTCAATTGAAAAATACACGCTAGTTTTCTTTTTTATAAGAAAACTAACGCCTCTCCCCTTTTCCCTTTAGAATTAGGATTCTGAGTTCTAGTTAAATATGGGCACTGGAGGGACCACATAATTAATTACTGAGGCTTCCTATTATGGAAATAATTCCAAATAATTAATTTGAATTATTCTTACCATAATAAATTACAAATCATTCCACTAGAAATTCGTAATTGCACTCCTCTATTTATATTTTGTAATTCCCCATTAAACACTTATGTAATTCCCCATGTTAAGATTTCAGATACTAATCAATAAATTAAATTACTGACGAATTTAACTTAATGATTAATTTCCTTTAGAGCACTACTTAACTTATTTCATGTGTCGGATTCATAAATCCACTTGCAAGGTTTGACACGATGAAAACTTATAAGTTTCTCAAAAAGGCATATCAATCAATCTCTATAACGAGACATGGATTTCATCAACTAACTTATTATTTCACCAATATATATTATTATCATCCAACTTACCAGGAATATTGACCCATCTCAGAATCTCACCTTTTAATAAATCAAAACGATAATTAATATATACAGATCATAATAGTTATATCAGGATTAAGAATATAAGTACATTTAATAGTTTAGAGAATATGTTTTGTCAGTCAGTCTAAAACAACTATCTCTACTCGGTCCCGTTCAATACATACAAAATGCACTAGCACAAGAAGTTGGAACTATACCGTTCCCATAATCAAGATAAATTACCTATAATCTTGTGCTACAATCGTACCGATGGCATGTCCAATTTCCATCCTAGATTGTGAACAAAAATCTTTATACTTATAAGAACCGATGATTTAATCCTCTGTGTATAAGCTAAAACTCTACACACTAAATCATCTACTATATAAGTAAATAAACACCATAAACGAATATATGATCTATTAAAATTGAGCAAATATTTATTCTATAATAAATATTATTTCTAACACATGGTTAATAGTATATATCCCAACATAAGGATCATTAGAATCAGCTTCTAATAGACTTGGATTCAATTGACTAACATCAAGATTACCAGCTTCTTGAAAATCAGGCATAGTAAAAACAAAGTTTTCTGTTTTTTGATAAGGCAAATTTAGCCACATAGAGTAATAACATGCCAAGCCAAAACCACCAGCCCCACTAAAAATGACATGAAAAATTCCAAATTCATGAGCTATATTTGCTGACCATCCAAAAAACATGTCTATATAACACAAACAGTGGCGGACCCAGGATTTTCACGAAGTGGGTTCAAAATATAAAAAATAAAACTAAAATGTGGCCATAGGGATTCGAACATGGGTTGACTGGGAAAATTGAACCCTTTTCACCACTCAGCCAAGGGTCACACTTGTGTTAGTGGGGTCAAAAGTTAATATATACATATAAAATTTTAAAAACTGATTATCGGTGTTATTTTTCAACGAAGTGGGTTCATATGAACCCACTTGAATCACTGTAGGTCCGCCCCGGATAATACACAAAGTGGCTTTTCAATAAGACTAGATACAAGATTTCTAAATAAAGGTTCAAGAAAAGAGGAGATTGTTATAAAATGCAAGGAAAGCTTAAAAGTAAGTGAATCAGTGTTTTCAGTGTTTGGAGGTAGGCCATAATCAGAGCTATTGAATGGAATTTCAAGAAAGGAAATAGATGAATTTTGAGGGAGTCATGAATTGTTCCCTTTTTCTTCTCCATATTTTTGGTCCTTTTTTCTATAGAGAGAAAATAAAGCCAAGAAATTTAGACATTTATAAACGCAATTACTTTTTTGTAAAATTATTCTTCTATGATAAATAAGAATAGATCTTCTAGTATCGGAGCTATGGATAATAAGAAATATAGTAAGAAACATACTAGTAGAAAGTTAAGAAAAATAAGAAGAAAATTAAACAAACTATATCCGGAATATAAACAACTTAATATCACAAAAATTGATAACGAAAAATTAGACCAATTAATAGATAATATCTAAAATAGAATATAAATATATTCAATATTTAAAGATGCAATGAATAGCGAGAATAACGAATATAAAGAAAAACTTACTGAAATAATTATAGTGAAAAGACAAGAATTAGAACATAGGCAAAATAGACTTAAAATAACATATTCGCAGGAATTTGTAAAAAAATCTATAATAGCACAGAGAAAAAACTATTTTATATCTAGAAATACAAATAGAAAGTTTAGAATATAAACTTCAACACAATCTATAAATGAATAAGGAAGAATACGC